AAGTAAAAGGATTATTTTAGGGAAAATCATGATGTCGTTCGATACATTTTTGATGATTTTATAATAAATTCTTGACATGACAATGATTTGTACATGGTTTTTTGGATAAAAAATTAATTATTTAAAAATCATGTTAAAATTATTATCAAATGTACTGACATGATTTTTTTCTGAAAACTTCTTCATACTATCTTGATTTTATTATGACTTTTTTGTATTCTATTTGGATTTCTATAAAATATTATATGTATAAAGATATATATTAAAGCGACAATTTAGTAACGTGCTTTAATTATTGTGGTTTAAAATAAATTTCTTAAATACATAAAACATACACAGGTAAAACATACAAAGGTAAAGTTATTTCATCAATTTTTTGCATAAATTTATTACAACAATCTAAATTTATTATTAACTTTCAAAGTGCAGATAATAACACTCAATCTAACAATCTCATATCTTATTCATCATTATTAAAAAAATTATACTTTTTATATTTTGTTTGGTATTATGACGTAATTAGCAATTACGTTAACTTTATTAATAGCGATAATTATGAAATACAAAATGCAGAGTTTTTACTAAAGTATGTCAGAAGAGACATAAGTGAATTCAATGAGCTACAGGGTAGCTTGTTTTCCTGAAGGTAGAATTTCATGTCGGTGGGGTTAAGTAGCCGCTGTAAAACGCACTGTAAGCGCTTTGTGACGACACGACGTTTGGCCGAGCTTCGGCCGAAAGAAGAAGTACTCGGCGCGGTCGCCTGTTAAAACGTAAGCAGCTCATGGAAAGCTGCTTACGATACTCGAAATGAAAGGCAGTCATAGCGACGCTGCCATGAGGCAGAAAGAAAGAGAGAGAGAGAGAGAGAGAGAGAGAGAGAGAGAGAGAGAGAGAGAGAGAGAGAGAGAGAGAGAGGGAGAGGCGGAGGGGCAGAGGTAGTGAAAGGGAGAGATAGAAAATGCATCCTTTCTGCTCGCTCGCTAAATGACAATCTGTCAGCGTGTTTCATTAGCGTGAGATGCTCACGTAGCTCGCTAATGACGCACTCGCACAAAGGGACCACAATGTAACTGCGAAGTAAGGCGATTGAATTGTGCAAGTGGTACAATGCACCACTGCTGTTTCCCCATTCCAAGATCTTCATTTTGAAACAAATCAGAAAAATATTCTTTGGCGTCATAGTCGATGACGTTCAATTAGACAAATTAGTTCGCGGGAAACCGCGCACGCACGAGTGCATCACCGCTGTTGTGCTGTCGTTAGTCTGAATCGCAACTGATCGAATCATTATGGTTTACAGTTCACCCGATGGTCCAGGTACCGAACCAGCTGGTCGGAGCTCCGATCGGAACTAACGTCACGTTGGTCTGCCATGTGGAAGCGTCACCTAAGGCCATTAATTATTGGACCCGAGAAACTGGTAATAGAACAATACAATCAGCATAGTTCTTGTCGTTCAATTTACTTGAAAGATAAATGACTTATTAGTTGAAGAAAATAGCTTTTGAATTATTCTAAAAGAAATTTTATAATTGAGAGATTCACACATTCTGTACAGAGACGGAAAATATTTTTTGTTACCTATAATCAGAAATTATCTTGAATAGAAATGCTTTATTCAAAGTATAAAATTTTATATATTTCTTATTAATTTAGTTTTTTAAAATATATTTCTGCAGACGAAATGATAATCACTAACAGCAAGTACGCGATGTCCGAGGTGAAAACATCAGTGTACAGCGTGCAGATGCGGCTGGTTATCATGAACCTACAAAAGCACGATTTGGGTGGCTACAAGTGCATCTCAAAAAACTCCATTGGCGACGCTGAGGGGAACATCCGGCTTTATGGTGAGTTTCCGCGGTTAACGCGTCGACAAGGGCGAAAACAGGTCGTAAAGTCTCTCTCTACGCGAGTTGGAGTTTCCGGAAAGTCTCGGGAAACTTCGTCAGACACAAACGATGTCGTACCGTCATAAATTCTCTTACAGAGTTAATGCATTTATTATATATTTTTTGAAAAAATTAGTAGTTAGTCTAAAGACTGCTTAGATATAAGTAGGAAGAACATGCTAAATTCTGTTACTAAGATAGTTGGAATATTTATCAACTTTTAGAAGACGGAGGTCTATTTTTTTAAATCTTGCAGCTTTACTTTAAGTTAAATTTGTTATAATTTATTATTTCATTGTGCATTCTTTGTCTTAAAATATGGCTGTTTCAGCGCCACTATAGTAACTTTTCTGTCTTATAAAGATTAAAGTATTCGAATGGAAAAAGATTAAAGTATTTTTGGAAAAGAAGTTAACCCAATAACATTAAAAGGATACTACAATATCGGAAATTCTATTTACGAAATGTAATTTTTCGAAAGTAGATTGAACTGTACCCGCAATATATGTTCACGTTCATTTTAAAATATCACTTTTGAAAGTGAAAGCTTTTCTACGGAAGCACTGAAACAGTCCTAGATATCAGAGACATATATCTGATTGCGGAGGACATTCGTAGTTGCACGTGCTCCAAGACGGCGAGAAAGTACAGCGTATCACTGCGACATCGCCGTTTCCATTACATGCACGATTTAATACGTCGCAATCTCGCAGGAACGATCGACGGCAACGAGCGTCTCGTGTATTACGCAATACAATCGTATATTTCTTGTCGCCCGTAACGATACGTCACTGTAAAAATAACGAACGATTAGCTTTACGTGTAGAATTAAAAAATACATACATCTGTTTGTGCCGGCGCCATTTTCGTTTATTCGCGAATATTGAACGATTAAGTGCAATGAACAATGTAAATCATTCGTTTGTAAAAGTTGTAAAATGCTTTATGACTTGAAAGCTCAAGATTTTATTCTTTTCATTTTTTTTTATTATTTCTTCTTCATACTGACTTGGCGTATATTGTATAACAAAGAATGAAAGAGAGTAATAAAATTAAGTTAAAATGGAAATCTCTGGACAGAAATATTTTACATACACTTGTATAATATTTCTGACACTAACTCTCGTCGTTTTGGTAATCTCAGGAATTTATCTCGAAGAAACCGCACGGCTGTCACTACAAGTATCGGTATTTGCGAAATTAAGTTTCCTCTCGAGTTTTACTATTTAAGATATCGGAGAGACCGGCGGCCGCGAGACAGATCGGAATTTCCACAGTTTCTTAGCCACGTCTCCGTCGTAACCGTAAGTTATTTCATGACGCAGATAATACTGTACTCTTCTGATAATATTTATGGAATTCGCTTCTATTGTGTGTCTGCGAAATACCATCACCAACCGCCGGCTATGAAATACCTAAGTCAGTAATCTTCAAAATGTCTTTGCGATATCGGTTAAAACATGATTACAATCCGCACTGTTTCTTCCCGAGAATATCTCCTCTTAACATTCTTAACGTTTAAATGTTCTACAGTAATAAGTTTACACACACATTCTATGTTATATAGCAATACATTACAGAATATCTAAAATTAAAAAAAAACAATAGTAATTAAAAATAAGTTGCAATTTAAAATCATTAAAGATTTGCGTTTTCTTAAGAGAAAATAATCTCTAAATTAGACTTGTAATAAACGCAATTGTAAAACTTTTTTTGTGTCAGAAAAAATTTCGTTAATATTATTTTTATTGTCTTTTTAAAATCTAAACAATATAAATTTAAGACAAATAACATAAATTTAAGATAAATAACATCAATTTTATTACACTTGATAAGAGATAAAAAATATGCGTGATAGAGCTAAAATTTTGGATAGCGTGGTGATATCTCACGTTGTACATGCGACGGATGACTCTACGACCGCAATAAGTCTTCATGAGTGGTACCCCATAATTTTCCACTCTGATTGAACGTTACGATCCGTTTACCGCATGTACGTAGACTCCTTTTACTGTCGAAAAACGAATGAAAAAAGGCATATTTTTCCGTGGCTCGACGGCGGTCCTCTCGCCGGTGTGTCATCAGCCGTAAATGCGCCCATAACTTCCCGCTTATTTTTCTCGAAGCGTATCCTTATTTTTTCACAGTTTATTTACCGGATTCCGCGTCACATAATTTTCCGCTTTATAGCGCTGGAGAAAATTCAGCGAAGCTGCGAATTACCCTGCGTTCCTGGCACGAAATAGCGATCGAGCATAATCAATCCATTTTACACGTTGGAATTTTCTGTAATTTTTGATCATGATAACGTACAACGTATTAACGCCTAGGCTAACACAAGTTATGCATGAGGCAGCAAATTTAGGGAGGCGACATTCTTGAAAAAAATTCTAAAAAATTGCCTGTCGAAGGCAATAACTCACAGAATTTAGATTTAATTCTAAATAAAGATTAATAACGAATAAAAATTTAGATTTAAAATCTAAATTTATATTTTACATATATATATATATATATAATATAAGTTACATTTGAGGCTTGAATGAGGTTGGCAACAATTTAATTACATAGGAATGGCATGAGTTCTTCGACTTTGGGTGAATAATAAAATACTGAACTCTGAAGTAAATGTGATTTCAAGTGTAACTTTTAAAATTATCTGACCAGAACAAAGTAATATTTTTTAATGCTTTCTAAAATAATTCGCGAGTTCTTATAAAACAAAAATTTTATTTTCTAAAATAGCGACAGTTCAATTTTATAGGAATATTAAGCAAAATAATATTTTTGCAATATACATGGCTCGATGATGTACAGGTACTTGATTCTCAGGTATCGTTATTCTTCATTCTATGTTGCATTATACATGACAAGAGAAAATTGATATGATATACTTAATAAATGTAACAAATCGATTCATTATACTTATTCCAGCGCTTTTAAATAAACGAAATAGATATTGATCAAATTCCGAGTGACCGTAATAATATTATAATAAAGCATAGTACGTACTCACAGGATTATTTCTGTTTTTGGCATTAATTTTGCTTATTCACAAAGGATACGATGTGTAATGCTCATATTCATGTGTTATTCATACGCTTTACTATTTTATGATCTTCTTTTATAAATAATTCAGTGCGCGACTGTAATTTTCACTTTTTAATATTTTTTAAAACATATTGCAATATTTCATACATTTCCTATTCAAAACGAGGCAGAATGAATAATGTCGGTATTTCTTCTTATGAAATTAGCATCTTTATGGAATGTAGCTTTTATAATCCGCTTAAAAATTGGCAATAAAAATTATTATCGCATTATGTTGTGAGTTTTGCGTTATCGTAGCGAAAATTCTACACGTCGTCGCGCGATTGAAGCTAAATTCCGGGCAAGTTATTGATGAGAAGCGTGCATAAAATTGCAGATTTATATGCAACGGTGCGATCAGCATCTGCATCTCCGCGCGCATATCAAAATACCTCAACACAAATCACAAGAGTATAAAGAAGAGTGAAACATACAACAGAATTTACTACTACTAGAATTTCGAGAAATAACAATATAGCTTACAATAACTGTTAAAAATTTTCGGCCAACGTATCTAATTTTTCGATAATTTTTATCAATCCAGTTTTTCAAAACTTTATAAGTTAATAAAATTCTTTTATAATTCTATTATAATAAAAAATAATTCTATCAAAAATATTGCTCATGTATGTAAAAACAATTGTAAAGGAGAATTAAGGCCAAAAAACGAGCAATAAATACAAACTCTATTGCTTTAATTTATAAAACTATATACCATCATTAAAAGTATGTAACACACATTACGCAGAACGTTTCGATACACAGTGTCTTTATCGATGTTTTAATATTAAGAGTTCTATATATATTTGTTTAAAATTTCTATTTATAGAATATAAATTATTAAGATTGCTTTGCACGTAACGTGTAATAACAAGGCTACAATATAGTAGTACATACATATATTTATGTAACTTTTTTTAGTACACAGAAGATTTTTTATTTATAAAAACATTCTTATATATAATTAAGAACATAATATTTTAAAAACTAAAATATATTAAAATATACTAAATATATTATACTTGTATACTACATCTTTATTTGTAAATATTCTTTATCCGAGCAATACAAGAAAATTATTCATTGGCCAGAAACTTTTGACCATTATATATAAAATTCTTCCATCGCTATTTTTTAATAAAAAGAACCAGTTCTCAGTTTATCTCTTTATCAAAACACGAATAGAACGGCATAACAAACTGGACAAAACCAGGCTTGATATCTGTAAGTTAACCCTGCTGGCTTCCGAGCGCGCGTGCAATCCTAATGACGGCAATTTTATCATGCTGTCGTGTAAAGAGCGAGTGTACGCGCGGAGGAAGCGCGCGATGCTATCCCGGCGTGCTCGAACTTCTCGTTGAAGTCACGCGATCAGATAAACTCGAAGGATTAACAGTTAAACCGTCGGTGTAAACGGGGCGCGAAGAGTCAAGAGTGAAAAGAGCGTGCGCTGTCTACGCCGTCAGAGGAGGGTGGTTCGGTACTCGGTAGATTTAAGAGCGCCGTGCAGGGCGAGGACCGGTAAGCTATGGAACGTACGAGGACAGTGGCGGCATGTTGGCGCGTCATGTCGAGAGCCGAAAGTCCGCGAAACAATATCCGAGCTTTCCATCCACCTTCCTCGTCTCGTCTGACCATGCCGTACTGGTTTTTCCTCTTTTCCGCCGTTCTTCCGAGGGATGTTCTTGTCACAGATTGCGCACGGTTGGGATTATGGATTTACCTTGATAAATGAGGACTCGATATCAGAGGCGTAACTCTGGGATGAAGATCGCGTTGCTTTAAATTATAAGTCTGCGGGTTTGATTTCTCTTGAGATATTATATTATACAGGAGTATCTCTCTCTTCGATACTTGAAACTCTCTTATCATATCCCGTGATACAGTTTAAAGGATGAGTCGTCGTCTATATTAAATGATCGATATTACTTCCATTGTAAAAATTTGAGTATAGATTTCTAATAATTTGAAATATATTAGACGTGCGCAAGTCTTTCCGATTTCAATTTATTATTTCTTCACGGTTTCAACTTATTACAAAAGAAAAATGAAGATAATTATTTTTTCAATAAAAAAAAAGAAAGCACACGTAGCAGTACTTAAAAAAATATATTATCGCTAATGTATGTAATTTCAAAAGTTGTTCGAAATTTCTTCACTTGCGTTTCCAATAATATGTAGTTTTTTCTAAATCAAACGAGTTGACCACCGTCAAAAAATCGCTACGAAACAATAGGAAAGATCGTCAGGGCATCACGTCTCCGGTTAAAAGACCGTGAAACAATATCTAATCTGACCACCAGCCCGCCGTTATCTCTTTTCTTGCTCCCTATCATCCCAGCCCCACGTACTTCTGTGTCTCGTATTAGTTATCGTTTATATCAGCCGACCAGACAAAACGCGCCGGAATTGGGTGAGCCATCTGTTGCCAGACATGATCGATAAAAGTCTGCCAAGTGTTATCAGTGCTAAACTGCTATTTAGACGGGCTGCCGCACCCTCTCTTCCACTTCTACTTCTTCTTATAGTTCTTCTAACCACCGGCACCGGTCTACCGCAACCTGTCTCTTCGTTCACAGCAGTTGTATATCGGGTGTCGCGGACTTACCGAGATCAATTTTATTCCCGAAGGAATTGTTTGACCGTTGCGGAGTCAATTTTCAAATCCTTGAACCAAAAAAATCTCAGATAAATGTAATTGCCGAAAATGTTTTATATATCATAAAAAAAAGTCTTACGCATTCGTGAATTTTCCACGCGGAGGCAAAGGTGAAATTTTTGCGCAGAGAATTTACGTCGAAATATATTCGGATTAAATTCATTAGCAATATTGCTGAGTGGAGTTGACCGAGCAAAAGGAAAATTAGGATGGAAACTGCGCCTCGCTGCTGGTTGAGCGCCCCGTAATGAGTAAGTAGCAAAATGGCTAGTAGAGAGCACATCTAATTCAATATCATTGAAACACGATCTTGTCAATTAACTCTGTGATTTCGGTATTTAGTAGCTTCGTCGAAGCTATATAATCAATATAGGAGTTAGACATTCTAAAGTTACACGAATCCGATTACGTTAATATAATTCTGTTCACATACACGAAACAAGACATTTCACAATTAACATTTAATCAAATTTCATCGGTTATTTCGGCCGATTTGAACCGATTTTCATATATCTTTTTTTTGTAAAATATAATTTCGAGATCTATTTAGGAAGATCTACTTAATAAAAGCAATAACTATGAAGTTCTCAATAACGTTTAATATAGATAGAATTTAATCATGTGAGGATTATGTAGAGCTATAGTACGTTAAACTAGTACGAGAAATTAACGTCAATTATTTCCTAGAGCAAACCATATCGATTGATCTCCTAACATACGAGAGATAATGGTGTCTCATATCGTTGTATCTCTCCTCCCCTCCTCTGCAACATCATGTTTCCCGCTATCACGTATCGACTTGCTCATCATTCGCTCGTTGAATTTCAATGGAACGTGCCAAGGATATTAAGCACCGCTGAAAAATACGCGAGAGATGTCAAAGACAAAGATATATTCAGAGGAAATTCATGTGATAAATATTTAAAAAATATACGCACATATCTCACAGCTAAAAAAGAATTTCTGGAGATAAAAAAGAAAAAAAAAGAGAGAACCGAGTCAATTCGTTTTCTATTGCGCGCAACAATAGCATTGCACGAAATTCCAAAAAAGAATTCTCACTTTTATTCGCCTCGCGTGTCGAATGACATTGAGTGTAAAAACATCGTGTGATATCTTCCATCGAGCTTCTACACATGCGGAAAAAAATGATATCTACTCACTACCGGAATGCGCCGACTGACCACAGTTGAAATAATGTTTCGACGGTCGTGCCTTGAATTCGATAGCAATGAAGAAACTGCAAGCTTGGCGCTCTCATTGCACGCGCGTAACAGAAGTATCGACAACTCTAACGTTCTTCACATCGACTCGACAACTTGTAAAAGGATCGCGTTTAATCCTCGCTTTTATTTAATTCTTTTTATCTTTTTCTCTAAGTACAGTAATTTGTTCAAGACAGATTTAAAAACAAAAATAAGAGAGATGAAGAGAGATTTAGAAAAATATCAAATATGGTTTAAGTTTAAGAACTTTTTAAACAATTAGAAGAATTTCTAGAATACAATATATTCTAAATTAATATACAGATTAGCTAAAAAAAATAGTTCTTCACCTTTTCCGAAAAATTTAATTTTTTGGATTGTGAAATAAGAGAATTTTTTGAAATAAGGGAACGATGTTATCCAGAAAAATGTTGATTAAATTTTTCTCTTCTTATTACATTACAGACATGGAGCTACCTAAACATTCTAAAAAGGGCAGTGATCGGCGATCAGAGGATGACGCGAGCGATTCGATTGGTGATCGCGATCACAGATTGAACCACGCGCATCAAGGATCCCTGAGGGAAACAGGATCAACTCTGGAACCAGCCTTCGACGCGGACGACAATTCAGCGTCTACAACGTCGAGAGACAACGCGCCGCCGGCGACGATCGGCATCGTCCTGATCATACTGCACCACTTGGTCGCTTCGACGTAAGATAGACGTAACCTATTTGCCCTTAAACGCAAACTACGTTTACCACGAGCTCGATTCGCTAACCTAAGGAAACTCTGAGATAGCGGCAAAGTAGCTCCGTCGCCTCGCGTTCTCGGTAATCCATGACATTTATTGTCGAATCTTATCGATATCATGTCAATCCTGACGGAAAATTAATCATAATATTTTAAACGAAAGCGATTACTGTGCTGAATGATACATTCGTAAATATAACAAGGCTCACCGTTAAACAAAATTCTTCTATAGAAATCGGAGGATAAATTGACATGGACATCTCGATTATTATTTCAATCCTTTGCATGATAACGTTTTACGGGTCCAATTTTTTTTTAAGGAAAACAATTATATTTTTATTATTTTATTCGTGACAAATGACAGATCAAAATTATATCAGGGTTGATAAAAAAACATATTTAAACAGTTTAAAATATGCTTAAATTGATGTTTTTAATATGTTTTAAATATGTTTGTTTTATAGTATTGTTTAAAGCATATTTGCAGCATTAAAAATATATTTAAGAAAAAACACAATATGTTTTATTCTTAAAAAAAAACATTAGTTTTTATCAATCCTGATATATATATATATATATATATATAGATTCGGAATCTCTATCAATGTCAATTCTACGCGGTAATTAAATATTACCGGCTCGCATTTCAGTGATGAAAAAAAGCGCATTTCATGAAATTTAAATATGATATGTGAGAACGAATGTTAATAATAATGTTCACATTCTCACATAGAAATAATGGAAACTTGGGAAACTCAAAAAGCATCAAATTAACAAGCAACATGCTAAATTAAATAATGCAACGCATATCACGTGACGAAACAAGCCGACTACTACTAGCGCACGACAGTGTAATATGGATGATCTCTTTTATATTTAAAGGAATATTTTAGTAAAGCGTCAATTTTGTTGTTTTACTTATCTTCACGTGTTATTTATGTATAAGATATATACTGTGAAATTTATTATATTCTATTCTTTTGTGACAATATATAATTTACAGTTAAATAACTGAAAATAGATTCGTTCCTCTTCTGAAATTATAATTTATCGATTATGAATATCATTATAACTCATTGTAACTTATTTGAAATTCATTAGTAAATTAATCTTAAAATTACTGATGACTTAAATAACTGATAATCAGAAATATGTTCCAAAAAAATTGTTTCCATTATTATATGCATTATGAAGACCGACATTATTTGCATTACAAAAACGGCGATTTCTTTTATGTACGAGCCATCCATATTTCGTATGGCATCGATCCAACAACGTGGCCGCTCTTCCGCTTAATGCTTGTGTAAATTAACAGCCAAGTGAATATCGACGAAACGTTAACGGCAGACTGAAGATCGTGAAATTTTGTTCGCATCGTCATCGCAAGTTACGGTTACCGCGATTATCCGTCTACGGATTAACGAGGTATCTCGTTAGCTAGTCGCGTCTCCGCACCACCAGTGACATAATTATTAAATCGCCATTTTTTTTTAACTCGCGCGTTGGAAATGTCAGATCATGGGCGAGGCGGTTATATACAAAATTCATTACACAAAATGTCGTTCACGTCGAGTGGTCATCTATACCGGAGAGGAAGCGCTCCTGAGAATGACTGCTGTGAGAAATCGCGTGTGTTTAATTAACGTGAATTTTCATCGAGCAAATTTCACATTAGACGCGATCGAGTGAAACAAGCTGCCATGCCGTAAGCATCAACGTCTGATCCAACGCCGATTTTACGCGATCGAAAAGCGTAGTGTTGGGCCTTTCGTTCGTGAATTCGCAATGCGTACACTTCATATCTCCCCAAGAAATACAATTTTGTATCGCGTACACTCCTCGAATCTCTAAATAGGCACTAGGCAAAGGAAACATTCTTGAAAAATTTTACATTGCATTAATCATGTTCACCATTTCAATCTTTTTAAGGATATATTAGATGTATAGATATTCACAATGTTAACTGTTCTAAGGACGTATCGGATATATTTGGCAGGTGTCTCTGCCAAAAAGTGATTTGAATGGGACATTTATACTTTCTAAAAATGAATATTACAAATATAATGTAGAAAAATCTATAATTTTTTTCATAATTTTTTATTTTTTTTACAAATACATGTAATATATCCTTAAAGATGTCAAGACACTTTTTTTTATTATAAAGAAAAATCATTATCCTTTATACTTTGCCATTATTCTTTATACTTTATGCAGCTATAATCTTATATTCCATATTTTTCTGTGGAAAAAATATTTATTAGCGCGTATGACAAGGCAGTAATTGAAATTTTTCTCATTAACATATTCACATGCGAACAATTGGACGGAAATATTTTTATCGGCAATTTCGTTATTAAATTTCTATGTCAATCGAACGTATGACAGAGACGCTTTTCTTTTCGACTCAGACAACTACGTCATTTTTAATTTCTTCAACATGCAACACGGATGTTTCGTGTAATTTTATTCTCGATTTATAGTCTGTTCTAAAGATACGTACTATTACATTTAAATCAATCGAGAATATCCTATTAAGCAAGAGAAGACTTTCCATTTCTATGCCATGAAAAAAATTTCACAAGAAGGTGAAAAAATATTGGTATATGTTTTGAGCAAAAAGTAGGGAATAGAATTTTCTAGATAAAACGATACTTTGTAAATAATTTATTAATTGTCGAACTGCCTGATCATCAGAAATCAAATCTTGAATTATAATGGATGTTCGATCAATATCACGAGAATCTTCGCACATCAAGAAATGGGAGTGCGAAATAATAGTAAGTAGAATTGCTACCATCGATGTTAAAAGTAAATATTGTTGAAAATGACCTCATTTTTGCAAAAATTACGAACTATTTGTATAAAAAAAGAATTTTTACAATACGAAAAAAATCATGCTTCCACTTTTCTTTTTGAGCTAAATTTTTCATGTGTCGATACATTAATGTTAGGATTCTTTTACAAATAATACTTTTATAGTTCATATGCATCTAGGCAGATTTTCGGAAAATTTGAGGTCCGCCGAAAATGCGACGGCTCGGTAAACGATTTTTTATACGTAATTTCGGCCAATTACAACGAGGCGCGCAAACGAAAGTGAGAGATAATTACTCGTTCCGATTAGGAAAACGTGCCAAATGTTCGCCTTCTTTAGTTTTTCTTTATTTTAGAAAATTTATCATATTATTTAAAACGGCTTATAAATATATCGGTATTTCAAGGGTCCACATCGCTTTTCTCCCGAATCTAATCTTAGATAGTCATGTTGTTACCTCCATTCAGGCGGCTTTTCTATAAATGGCACCAAGTGTCGATTGTGCTCCTTTTAAGTTGGCGACATTTATGGAGTAAATCTCTGACGTCTTGAAAATGTTCATATGTGAAAACAACTAAGCGACGAAAGAACGATCAATCCATCTTTTTGTATAAATGTATATATACTTTCAAATTAACATTTATTAATCCGATATTATTAATAGTTAAATCTCAAATCCTGTATGCCTGATTTGTTAAGTAGATTAAGATCATATAACTTTACTGTAAATCACAGCATAAAAAGCTATTACATTTCCTAGGGTGAACTTTAGAATCTTATTTCTCAGTTTTGACATAAAGGCACTCAGGTCCTTTTACATAAAAGTCGTCCATTTAATGAGACAATGAATAACGTCGGTAGACAAAGGATACGATGCTTTATAACGACAACACTTTTACTACCGCTCATTGTCGACGGCGTTGTCAATTACGTTATCCGACAGTCGCGTTGTGGAATGGACGATTAACGCGTATGGAGGTTAAATATTTTATACTTGTGAAATACGAAGAATAGCGCACGGTCTGCGAGTACGAGACCGTTTTCACAGAGGTATAATACCGTATAACAAGATAAAATAACTCTTTTCTGGTCTCTTCTTCACGTGATATTAAATTAAACATTGTATTTGTTATTACATAATTCAATAATAAATATGATTATAAAAAGTTTGCGGTGTCATAAAATAATTTGCTTTGTTCTAATGACAATCTCGATTTATTCGCTCGTTTTTGGCCCGTTATTTTTAATATAGTTGACATTCATGTGTTTCAATAACGAGTAAGTTACTATTGTTTATCTTTTTGGTTTACTTAATTTATTTATATTCGTATATTTCTGTGTTAAATCTTAATGAATATAAATTAATCATAAGTTCATGAATCCGATTGTTTTGTCATCAAAACTTGAAGAGCTAATTTCTGTACAACTATCGATCGTCGAGTACAAGTTGGAGGAGTGTCGCGATGTCGTGACATCAGAAATGATATTAGTGTCATACTATCCCGATCGTCAATCGATTTCGTATTTAATGTCACGTGAAAATGGGTCAAAGCGTCAATCACCGCATGATTAAGGCGCAGCACGATTGATTCGTTATTTATTCGCAATTGAGCCTCGTCATAGTCACAATAAGTGAGTGTATATGCCTGTTTGCGTGCGTGCCTGCGTGTACATGCGTGCGTGTGCGCGCGCGCGCGCGCGCGCGTGTGTGTGTGTGTGTGTGTGTGTGTGTGTGTCATGTGAGAGAAAACATCGCGATGTCTAATTATTATTAATGGAAAGCGGGAAAACATCTATGTGTAGATTGTGTAAATTATGGAATAGGATTTATCGAATTGTTGATCGTAGGTGTGTTTATATATATACAAGGATTATATAATATATATAAATATATATATAAATATATCTAAAGCGTAAATCGAAATAAGAATAAGAATCAAATCGTAATTGAAATCGGCCTTTTGCGCGTTAGGGCGGATAACTAAGAGCCTACGTGGCTCAAAGTTATCGACTTCTATTGATTCTGATCATTGTTGATTATCATTGTTATAACTGCCAACGCTTTTTAAGACGAGTCGATTACTCATCACTTCGTAAATCCTTATCATGATAAAACGACAAGAGAAATAATAAAGATCATACGTACAGCT